GTCGGCTTGAGATTTTCTCGCTTTCCCTCTTCCTCTGTCCCCCCACTCGCACATGCTCTCTCTCTCTCAAATAAATAAATAAATCTTTAAAAAAAAAGAGAGAGAGAGAGAGAAAAGAAAAACTCCACTACCAGCTTCTGTTAAACCACTATGCTGGTTTTTCCTCCTACCTCACCGACTCCTTCCTTACTTTCCTCCACTCAGGTCCCACCGCAGTCTGGCTTCATTCTTTACCTAAAGCCTCCTAAGGAGATCTCATCTAGCCCCATAGTCTTTACTGTCATTTATATGTCAATAACTCCACATTTATATTTCCAGTCCCAAGCTTTCCCAGAACTTCAGAGGTATAGCTATGAGGCTACTTAACAAACTTCTCTGCTAGAGCTCTGATAACTCTTGACATCTCTCACCATTTACATGTGTGAAAACCTTTCTGAGTCTAATAATTACGTTCAAAACCACCTCCATCTTGGGCACCTGGGTGGCTCAGTTGGTTAAGCAACTGCCTTCGGCTCAGGTCATGATCCTGGAGTCCCGGGACTGAGTCCCACATCGGGTTCCCTGCTCAGCAGGGAATCTGCTTCTCCCTCTGACCCTCTTCCCTCTCGTGCTCTCCATTTCTCATTCTCTCTCTCTCAAATAAATAAATAAAATCTTAAAAAAAAAACACCCCACCTCCATCTCAAGAAATAGCACCACCATGAACCCCAGTTCTCAAATCAAAACCCAGAGGTCATCCATCCTTCATGCCTCCCTTTCCTTCAATCTTTCATTACAATCCATTAGTAAATCCAGTAGTTTCCATCTTCAAAATACACCATAAACCAAATTAATTAACCAAGGAACCATCACTTTTCTCCCAGACTACTTCAGAAGCCTCTCAACAGTTCTCCCTTTTTTTTTTAAGATTTTATTTATTTATTTGACAGAGAGACACAGCGAGAGAGGGAACACAAGCAGGGGGAGAGGGAGAAGCAGGCTCCCCGCTGAGCAAGGAGCCCGATGTGGGGCTCGATCCCAGGACCCTGGGATCATGACCTGAGCCGAAGGCAGACGCTTAACGACTGAGCCACCCAGGCGCCCTCAACAGTTCTCCCTGCTTCTATTCTTACCTCTTCCCCTCTCTACCCAAATCTGTTCTTCACAAAGTAGCCAGAACTGGTTTTTTTTAATGTCAATCAGTTTGTGTCGCTCTTCAGAGTAAGGGACTTCTTCCAAGCTAATTTCATGAATGTATATCGGCCATGCCCTAAAAATAATCATGCATGATCCAGCCCTTGCCTAATTCTTTGACACCACTTCTTCGCCACTCACGGCTCGGCACACAGTAGGTGCTCAAAATTAATAACAATTAACATTTGTTAATTACATATTGTGTGCTCAGTATCCTAACTAGTCGCATAAGTTAATGATCTAAACAGCGATTCTTAACACTTTCTGGGTGAGTCACATCTCCAGAAATGTGGAGGCGGGGGGGAAGCTATGGCCTCATTCCCTGGAGAATGTACGTATATATAAAATTTTTCAACATGTGTTTTTCTCTAACCTGAATTTTTTCCCCCAAATATTCTAAGGGAATTTCCAGCAGCATTCTAGTGGGTAAAGAACTCAACCCTAATAAATTGCCTTAACTAAAACATCCAAAAATGATAACAAAGAAAAGCTGTATGTAATACACAAAATGCCAACTTTCAAACTCCTTAGGAATGTTACTGATGGGAAGTTCAACCATAACAAAAGTGAGCTTATCAAGAATAGGATCTGATAACAAACAAGGGTGGCCTTATGATATCACAGTCTGGGGCATAACTCAGACTTTGCTATGAGTGTTACTCTCATACGTTAAGTAATTTCAATGTTTTCCTTTTTCTTTTTTTTAAAGATTTTATTTAATTTTCAACAGAGAGAGAGACAGCAAGAGAGGGAACACAAGCAGGGGGAGAGGGAGAAGCAGGCTCCTCGCTGAGCGGTGAGTCTGATGTGGGGCTCGATCCCAGGACCCGGGGATCATGACCTGAACCAAAGGCAGACACTCAACTGAGTGAGTGACTGAGCCACCCAGGCGCCCCTCAATGTTCTTCTTTTTAAAGATATCCCAAGCAGGGGTGCCTGGGTGGCTTAGCCGGTTAAGCATCTCCCTTTGGCTCAGGTCATGATCCCAGGGTCCTGCTGGCTCAGGTCATGATCCCAGGGTCATGCACTCTCTCTCTCTCTCAAATAAATGAATAAAACCTTTTATAAAAAATCAAGTGTGCAAATAGAGTGAGTACGGAGATGGTTAGAAGACCAATGGAAAACAAAATGTTTCCAATATTTTTCATAGCCAAAAAAGGAAAATAGAGAAGACAGGAAAAACTCAAATACAAGGAACACAGCTCTAAAATCTGCAAAACTTATAAATTATAAAAACAATTTAGTAATAAACTGAAAATTATAATAGCAGTTACTTCTACTTCTTTCACTTGGCTGATTTTTTTAAAATTCTCGTTAAGAACCACATAACAAAATTTACCACTTCAGCCATCTTTAAGAGTACAGTTCAGTGGCATTAATAACATTCACACTGCTGTGTAACCTTCGTTACCATCCCTCTCCTGTATATTTTCATCATCCCAAACTGAAATTCTCTAGTCATTAAACAATAACTCCCCATTCCCTTAGCCAACTTTTTAAATGTCCTTTTTTTCTAGCAAGAAAAAACACATTTTAAGAGAGCATCCAGGAAGGAGAAGGAATCGCTCGCTCTCTCTCTTTTTTTAAAGATTTATTTAAGATTTATTTATTTATTTAAGAGCGAGCGAGCAGGGGCACAGAGAGAATCCTCAAGCAGACTCCCTGCTGAGCATGGAGCCCCATGTGTGGCTCAATTCCAGAACCCTGAGATCATGACCTGAGTGGAAATCAAGAGTTGGCTGCCTAACTGACTGAGCCACCCAGGCACCCCAGGAAATCTCTTTTGAATCTGAACACCCATAATTTCTTATACAGTATGCACCTGTGCTCAAAAAACTTAAGACTAAGTTAAGCTTGAAACCTGAGACTAATAAATTATTTATGTAGATATTCTAAAAGGTCTCCTGCTTGCCAGACACTGTGCTAAACTCTGGGATCCAATTATGAACAAGACACTTGGAATTTATAAATCAGCATGAAAGGGGCAAAGTTAACAGAATAACTATGCTGACAATGAAGGTAACGAGACAGTGAATAATAGTGAGGAGAGGCAACTCCAGATACTGTGTTCTGGGAAACCTCTGAGAGGTGACATCTAAAATGAGACCTGACATGATCTCAGGGTCGTGAGATCAATCCCTGCGTAGGGCAGAAGTTCAGAGCGGAGTCCGCTTGAGATTCTTTCCCCCTCCCACTCCTTCTCCCTCTGCTCCACCCGATCCTCCCACACACGCTCTCACTCTCTCTCTAAAAAAAAAAAAAAAAAGTAAAAAATAATAAAAAAGCGTTTACATGATTGATTAATATCTTCCTCTCCCAAAGCACCTAGCATTATGCCTTTCATATAGCGGAAACTCAGTAATAGCTCTCCTGGCCTCAATTTCCTTATTCCTGAAATAAACTTCCAAGATTTCTTCCAAACACAAAATGTGTTTGAGGGGGAAAAACTACGTATCAATGAAACGGACATGGGAATGGTGGCGGTAGAAGTAAAAATTGAGTGAGTCCAGAAATGACTGCAAAACCGTAACTAAGGCAGAACCGCGCGCAAAAACCTGTGGTTATAACAAAACCTCTTGCTATCTGAAATGCCTTGCATCTTAAGACAACATATAAACAGAAATCATTCACTCACTCAGCTTCAGGAAACAACACATACAGTAGAAACAAGAGAGTAAGAGATAAGTGCATGACTACACTGAAATGCTCACTTCTCATCTTCCTCCGGACTCTCACTGCGAAGGGCCAAGACAGGGCAACGGTCCCAATCTACCCAGAAACGAGAGTATCAGGTTTTGCTTGAGGCTTAATCCCGGGATGAGGTCAGCCACCAATCTTAGCTAGGATTTGAGAAAATCGTTCCAGATGCCCAAAAAGAAGAATATCGACCCTTCAATGGGGCGCCCTGAGAAGGAGAAAGCTACACTAAGGCACCACATTTACCCCAGCAGTATCTCCTCCTCGGCCCTGCCTCACCCAAATGGGGCTGAGGCAGGGCCAGGGCGTCCCCCGTCCTTTCGCCTGGAATGCGCCCCACGAGGGTGCCCTCCTCCACCCTCTTGGTACAGAGGGGAAACCGGGCACCTCCAGAGCTGCTGTGAAGAACCAGCGAGCCTGAGGACGCACTCGCATCCTAAGGAAGAGTGGAAAGGAAAGGGTTGGAGCCCAAGAAAAAAAGCGTAAGTCTAAGCGGCAGAAGAGAGTGGAAGTCCCCAGCAGAGCAAAGAAGGAGGTTACAGCCGAAAAATCCCTAAGCCGGCTCTTACCGTCTGTGGGAGACGCCATTTTCCAACCCATGTCACGTGACGCGGCCAACCGTCGGCGGGAAAGCAAGGATCCATAAGCCACGCCCCCCAAAGAAACCCTATCCCCAACTCGCAGCCCCGTCTTATTTCCCCGCCCCATAGGGCAATCTTTGCTAGCCCCGCCCCCAGTGCTGGCCACACCCCCTCGCGCAGCGGAAGAGGTGGAGCGACTGCAAAATTCTTGAAGGGTCTTATTTACTTTCCTCGGTGAGGGGGTGGGGCCGCGGTCATCTCTGTGGCCAATCCGGGTTCCCGTTTAGGGGGCGTCTCCTGCGAGTGCTTAATACAGAGTACCCTAGTCAAGGGCGACTGCCCTCCTCCGCCAACAGAATTTGCGGAGGTGGGGGGGGGCTAGGGCTCTTCCACTTCTGGCCAATCGCATATCTCCAAGACTGGGACTGAGGGGTGGAGTCAGGTGTTAGGGCGAGTGACTGGCTAGAGGAAATAGTCTTCTCCACCAATGAGGCGGTGCGGCAGGATTGCGGGGGCTAGGCCTGGCGGCCGTAGAGCTTCTAGAGGCCGTAGAGCTTCTGCGGGGAATCACCCGCAGTAGGGGTACGTAGAGGAGGACAAGAGGCGGATGAGGACCATGGCGGCGGCGGTGGTGGCAGCAGCGGCAGTGCGGGCCCGGATCCTGCAGGCGAGTGAGGGTGGTACCGAGGGATCGCGAAGTTAGGAATTACGTCCTTTCCATCCACTCTCTGAGCCAAAAAACCCTTCTTAGCCAACCTTCCTGTTTCCACCGGACCCGTGCGACCCGGTCCCACCCCTCACTTATTATCCGCCCTCGTTGGATGCTGGACTGTCACCCCTGGCCTGCTGCCCTTTTACTCTGGGAGGTTCTCCTTATCTGGCCCTGGCCCACTCTCCTCCCCCAGCCCTGCCAGTCACTGCAGTCAGTCACCCTTGCCCACACTTCTCGTGGTCCCCTAACCGTGATTCCCTCTCTCTCACCAGAAATTCCCTTTTCTGGTCACCTTTGTTAGAGCTCTTTCTCCTGCTCAGAGCTACCAGATTGTTCCCCTCCCCCGACCCTACTTCACTGTCCATAATCCATGGTAAAGGAAGGAAGCACGCGAGGGGAAGGGTCAGTGAATGAACTTTGAATCTCCTTCTAGAAAGCTTACACCAGGTTTTCCCCAAAAGCAGCTATTTTCTGAGCTGTTTTCCCTAGCTGTGGCTCTTTGTATTTTCCACAGGCTGTAGACTGTTCCTTTTCTTGCCAAGACCTTAGTTAGACTTTTAGCAAAGTTACAGTATTCATGTTGGTGGTAAATAAGGACACATAGTTATGCTACCTGTATGTCCCAAGCACATGCCAAGGACTAAACATCTCTTTAAAAAACAATGATAGAAAATGAGCTGAGGGACACCTGGGTGGCTCATTCAGTTAAGCATCTGCCTTTGGCTCAAGTCATGATCCCAGGGTCCTGGAATCAAGTCCCGCATCTGGCTCCCTGCTTGGTGGGGAGCCTGCTTCTCCCTCTAAATGCTGCTCCCCCTGCTTGTGCTCAGTCTCTCTCTCTGACAAATAAATAAAATTAAAAAAAAAAAAGAAACTGCCTCATGCCTAGAAATAATAATTCTTTTTTAAAAAAAGAAAAGGTGATTGACATCTCTAAAACAGATGAGAGAAAATAAACAGGAATTGTTAATTCCAAGTTCCTAACCCAAAGTCAGCTCCTAGTGTATCAACACACCCTCAACACTGGCCCATGGTAGGGATTGGGTCCTTTCTGAAGCTACCCTAAGGAGAGGTGGTAGAGCTAGAGGAGCTGCATGCCTGAGGCCTGTGGTTTCTAACTCTGTTCACAGCGTTTCCCCAGTTTTAACAGCCTAGCAAGGACTTAGAAGGGGAGATTTACTGCCGGAAACATTCTCCAACCTACAAGAAACAACATTGCCCTTCTTGTTACATCCATCCTGGGAACTTCTTCCTCTATATTGCTGGACTTTTATTTATTTTTATTTTTTTAAAAGATTTTATTTGACAGAGAGAGATACACAGAGGGAACACAAGCGGGGGGTGGGGGTGGGAGAAGGAGAAGCAGGCTTCCCGTGGAGCAGGGAGCCTGATGCGGGGCTGGATCCCAGGACCCTGACGACTGAGCCACCCAGGCGCCCCATGGACTTTTAGATAATATTAGTACTTACCAGGTTGCAGTGAGTTCTACTGCAGAAACTTACACATTTGTAAGATTCTTAGTAAAGTCAGCAAAGGTTCATGTTTAAATGCTATTTAATGGGACAGCATGGAGAATGGGCTGGAAGAGTTTGTCAGATAATCTGGCTTCATTCAACTATTTCTTGCTGTGCTCCTAGTTCTATTTTTCTAGTATCCTTTCTTTTTTTAGTAATAGGGATATAAACTTTCTACCCTATAATTTCCATTACCAACTTATCCTTGAAATCTTTTACTAAAATTGACTTTTTTCCTTTGCCTCCCCACCATCACAGTGAGTCACTGATAGCCTTAAGAAGGTATTTGCCCTGGGATGCCTGAGTGGCTCAGTCAGTTAAGCGTCCAAATCATTTTGGCTCAGGGTTGTGGGGTGGAGGCTCTGTGCTGGGGGTAGAGCCTGCTTAAAGAGTCTCTTCCACTCCCCACCCCTCCCCAACCTTCTCCCTATCTTTAAAAAAAAAAAGAAGAAGAAAATATTTTGTCCTTTAAATCAAGGAGAGGAATCTTCCTTCCTATGTAGTTTATTGTGGAAACACACACTATTTCCTGATTCATTTGAAGAAACTTCTGAGTTGATCTGGAAAAGAACAGAAATAGTAATCCTTAGCCAAAGAGGAGTAACTGTAACATGAAACTTTGATAAAGAGTACTCTAGGGGCACCTGGGTGGCTCAGTCGTTAAGCGTCTGCCTTCGGCTCAGGTCATGATCCCAGGGTCCTGGGATCAAGCCCCATATCTCGCATTGGGCTCCCTGCTCGGCGGGAAGCCTGCTTCTCCCTCTCCCACTCCCCCTGCTTGTGTTCCCTCTCTCGCTGTCTCTCTCTCTCTCTCCGTCAAATAAATAAATAAAATCTTAAAAAAAAAAAGCACTCTAGATTCTGACAGTCATGAATTTCAGAGGATCGTCAAAGGATTTGTAAAGGAAAAAGTTCGTGTTTTCAGTAATTTTAAGTACATATGGTCTTTGATGTTCAATGGCTCAACTTAAAACTTTTTGACTTCATAAAAAAAAAAACTTTTTGACTTTATGGTGGTGTGAAAGCAATATGCATTTGTATTAGGAATTTTGAGTTTTTATGCCTCCCCACCCTGCAGTGCAATGCAGTATGATTCTCTTGAGGGACGCTGGGCAGGTGCAGGGAGTCACACAGCTCTCCGCCAGCCACATGATCACGAGGTTAACAACTGATACACTTATAACCATTCTGTACCCATACAAACATTCTGTTTTTCACTTTCAGAACAGTGTTCAGTTAATTACATTAGCTATTCATCGCTTCATTATAAAATAGTCTTTGTGTTAGATGATTTTGCCCAACTGTAGGCTAATGTAAGTGTTCTGAACAGTTTAAAGTAGGCTAGGCTAAGCAATAATGTTTGGTAGGTTAGGTATATTAAATGCATTTTCAACTTACAATGGGTTTATCACTCACATTCAGAGATAAGAAAACCAGCCTTAAAGAGACTCTGACTTGCCTCCGTGATGTGGTTTAAAGAGTACGGGGTTTACAATCATACTTGCATTCTTTCCCAGCTCCACCACTTTTTTTTTAAAGATTTATTTATTTCAGAGAGAGAGAGAGAGCATGATCAGGGGGAGGGGCAGAGGGAGAGAAAGAATCTCAAGCAGACTCCACACTGAGCTTGGAGCTTGATGCTGGGCTCAATCTCACAACTGTGAGATCATGACCTGAGCGGAAACCGAGAGTAGATTGCTCAACCAACTGTGCCACCCAGGCACCGCGCCCCCAGCTCCACCACTTTCTAGTTTTAAGAATATTTGTGAAGATTGGAATTCGTGATTATAATAAATGACCTGACAGTTAAGGTGATCCAAGGTCTCCCAACTGGTGACTGATGGGCTGAGAATTCGGGACTTAAGTCTTGGTATCTCGTTTTGTGTCAAGCACTGCACCGTCCCCAGGCTTTGGGATGGGAGAAGGAAATACAACACTCACTGAATGCTCCTCTATTATAATGCTATGGTAAGTGCTAACAGTAGGAGTGCACAGAGTACTGCAGGGCTGTAGGGAAACAATCCCAAATTCAACTTGTTCAGTTCAGGAAAAGATTCCAAAAGGAGTTCGCTCCAGGGTTGAGTTTTGCAAGACTAGCAGACCTTCAGCCAGAGGGAAAAGGGAGTGCCTGATAAAGGAAATAGCAAGTATGAAATAAACATCTAGAGAGGAAGAATTTTGGTGTGACTGGATGGAGGATAGTTTCTTCGACAACAGTGAGTGTTTCTTAGGAAATGAAGATAGGAAATCCAGCCTGTCAAAAACTATATGCTAATGTTTTATTATGCCAGATGCAGTGCCTTTTATGCCCTCTTAACGGCAGGGAGACTGTGTGCAAGTGAAAAAATAAAACTAAGAGCTAAGTGGCCTAGAATGCTCATGTTGGCTGAGCTGTACATTTTCTGCCCTGGAAGAGAGTATACATGAAACATAATTAATACCAAATGATGGCTTGGTGAGTACTTATTCTTTCATTCGGCAAAAATATTACTGACTGCTTACTCTATTCCAGGAATGGTGCCAGGGGCTGAGGACACAGCCATCTAGTGCTCTAAGGGGAGAGAGACTTCATAATTAAACAAACTATTATTCCACAGTGTGGTATCAGAAATAGAGGAGTTTAGGTGTTACATGAGCGCTATAATCTGGTGTTGGGCCTAGACTTGAATTGTAACTTAAAAGCTTCTGACTCTGCTACTTCCCCTATCACACTCAGAAGTTAACCTTGTTTTCCCTACTTCGGAGGCAACAGAAACCATCAGTTGAGAACTTCCCCAACTTCCTACTAGCAAACATACAAAACTGACCTGCACTAATACCCCAAATGATGGCTACATAGGGAGCTAAGGAGTAGGAGTGAGCCAAGCAAATGGGATGAAACAATTCCACGCAGGAAGGGGCAGCATGTACACAGGCAGAGAGAGCACAAACCATGTTCCAAATGCCTACAGCATAGACTGCAAAGAGGAAGTGGCCAGCTGTGAAACTAGAGAAGTAAAGATGCTATGCGAAGTCTTCTAAGCAACATCAAGATTAGTCTTTATCTAAGAACAGAGGAAAGCCAGTGGAGCTTTTTTAAACAAGGGAGTAATCTGCCCAGATTTGTGTTTTATTCTTTTTTAAAGATTTTTTATTTATTTATTTGACAGAGAGAGACACAGCGAGAGAGGGCACACAAGCGGGGGAGTGGGAGCGGGAGAAGCAGGCTTCCCGTGGAGCAGGGAGCCTGACTCGGGGCTCGATCCCAGGACCCTGGGATCATGACCTGAGCCGAAGGCAGACACTTAACGACTGAGCCGCCCAGGCGCCCCCAGATTTGTGTTTTAGAAAACCCCTCTGGCTATGGGGTAGGAAACCAGATTCAGAAAGCTTAAGACTGGAGGCTGGGAGATCTGTTAGGAAACACTTATTGAAGTTCAGGTGAGAGACAACGATGATAGAGACTGTGGTGATGGCAGGAGGGGCAGAGAAAAAGGACTGTGTTCCAAGGACTTCTAGGAGGACAGATTGCCAGGATTTGTTTGATTCACTGTGGAGAGAGAGAGAGGGAGGAGTTGGGATGACATTCAGGTTTCTTCTTGGGTAACTAGGTGAATAGTGGCCCCTTCCAAGGAAGGTGAGGAGTTCAGCTTTTTCAGTGTGCACCTAAATAACATCCATGTAGAGGCGTGGTGAAGACAGTTAGGTGGGTATTATCTGAAAATGAAGAGCTGGCTAAGAACTACAGATTTGGGCATCATCAGAATCTAGACCATCAAGCCACAGGAGTTGATGAAATCATCCAAGGCGAATGTGCAGAACGAGAAGAAAAGAAGGCCTAGGACCAAGCCTTGAGGAATTTAGTTAGTGGCCAGGTAGCAGAGGATGAGTCAGCAAAGAAGGCAGAGAAGTGGCAGAAGAGATATCAGGACATCCCCGAAGACAAGTGAAAAGGGTGTGAAAAAGTCCAGTACAGGAGGACTGGGAAGAACCCATGGGATGTAGGGAGTCACTGGTGTTTAGTCATGAAGTTTGGAGTGGATTGAAGGGTTAGTGGGAAATGAGGAAATAAGGTAATTAGCAAAGAGAATCCTTGCTATTGGACGGAGAGAGGTTTACGTTTCAGGAAAGAAAGGATAACTGGAGGTGTCTGGGGTAGCAGGCAAGGTGGGCTTTAGAGCACAGGTGCAGAGAGAGCCTGCAGGTGGAGGACAGGAACCTCGTCAGTCAGTCCACAGACACTAGTTGTGCACTTGCGTCTCCCAGTCACTTAGCCCCCACGGAGCTTGCTAGCTAACTGCTCCCTTACAAGAGGAAGGGAGGAGAAAAGGATAGGTATCGGTCAGCTTCGTAGATTTGCTAGTAAGAAGTTGAAGTTCTCATCTGATGGTTTCTGTTCCCTATGAAGTAGTAATAACAAAGGTCAGCTCTTGAGAGTGAGAGGGATAGCAGCAGGGTTGGAAGTTTTAAGAGAGTACATTTTGAAATAGCAAGGAGTGAGATGAAGCTTTGAAATAGCAAGGAGTAAGAGCAAATAAGTAGCAGGGAGATAGAGAGAAGCAAGGAGATATGAGAGAATAGCAAGGAGATAAGAGAAGTTTTGAACTAGCAAGGAGTGAAGGCAAAAAGTATAAAATATAAGAGTAACACTGAGTGAGCACCCACAACTTACTGTTTTCCATATCTGGACAGTGTTGATCACAATAACTGTAAAGTAGGGGAACAAGACAGATGGAGCGCCTACCTTCGTGGAACTTCAGTCTTTCGGGCAACAGACAAGTACCCAGGCAGTTACAACACAGACAGATAAACCTGATAGGGCAAGTACTAGCTGCTAACCTAGTCTGGGGTGGGGGTAGTCAGCCACCCAGTGGACCTTTCATTTGTTCTATAGATATTTGTTAGACACCTACTATGTACCAGGTACCATGGTGGTGTTGGGAATATGGCTATAAATAAGACATGGTGGACTCCAGAAGAGTGTTTAGTTTGAAATAGTTTTTGTGGGGAATGGGAGAGGAAGTAGATGAGGCATTTGGAAGAATTGTCTGCTGGCCTAAAGGACTTGCATCCTTTCCCCTGGACAGTCCTGCAGGAACACAAATTCTTGCACTTCAGGTAGCCCTAAACTCTTTGGTTAACATGCCTGTCTTCAGACAAGATAAAAGATTATTAGATTACAGTTTTCCTTTATATCCCATTCCAAGTGTTTCAGTTTTCTCACTTTGACTTGAATATTTCTTATATCAACTTCCATAGCATATATACAAATGAGGAGTTTTTTATTGTAACTGACCCCTCCCCCCTCCAACTTGCTGATTATATCCTATTAAATGTTACCTATACAACACATTCTTTTCCTACATGTGGCATTTTTTTTAAACAGCTTTCTTGAAATAAAATTGACATAAACTGTACATAAAGTATACCATTTGATAGGTTTTATATTTGTATACACCTGTGAAAACATCATCACAATCAAGATAGGGGACATATCCATCACCCCAAAATGTTCCCTATTACCCCATCTTCTGCACTTCCACCATCATCCCCAGGCAACCACTGATCTGCTTTCTAACCCTGTGGATTGTTGGCATTTTCTAGTTTTATATAAATGGAATCATACAGTGTGTACTGTTTTTATTTATTTATTGTGTGTGTGTACTGTTTTTATGTCTGACTTCTTTCACCCAGTATAATTGTTGTAGTTATCCATGTTATTGCATGTATAACCGTTCCTTTTCATTGTTGAGTACTGTTGCAGTGTATGGATATACCTCATTAGTTTCCCTATTCAGCCCATCCAATGGTGGACATTTGGGTTGTTGCTAAGTTTGGGGCTATTACAAAGCTGCTATGAGCATTTGTGTTCAAGTATTTATATGGGCATATTATACTTATATTTGACACTTGGTTATATACTATCTGACATTTGACACCTATTGTGTTAGATGCCATCTAAGAGTTTTCATATTGTTAAGATTTGTGGTGACTACCATTTTCCAGGCCAAAAATTAGAAAAATATGGTCTAATAAAAAAAATATTGTAAAATTAGGACTGTCCTGGGCACCTGGGTGGCTCAGTCGTTAAGCGTCTGCCTTCGGCTCAGGTCATGATCCGGTGGTCCTGGGATCGAGTCCCACATCGGGCTCCCTGCTCAGCGGGAAGCCTGCTTCTCTCTCTCCCACTCCCTGTGCTTGTGTTCCTGTTCTCACTGTCTCTCTCTGTCAAATACATAAATAAAATCTTTAAAAAAAAAAAATAAAATAAATAAAATTAGGACTGTCCTGGAAATTGAGGACATGATCATTATGGTTTCTTATTTTCTCATAGTTTGCTGTACCTCATAGTCTGATATCTTTTCTCTTTAAAGACTATATGACCCTTAAGAGCAAACACCGAGTCCTTTTCCATATACCCACAGTAACTAGTGTAATGTTAAGTATATGGTAGCCATTTGCTAAGTTTTTAATAACGTTCTGCTCTCATTTACCAAAAGAATCGTTCTTTTACTTCACAGGTCTCTTCCAAGGTAAATTCCACTTGGTATCCAGCATCCTCCTTCTCTTCTTCAGTGGTAAGTTTATTTGGCACTGAAGTTGGACTTCTGAGAAGGAATACAGTATAATTTGGGGGTATTAACACAATTGTGATCTTAACATAATTGTGATCAGAATATATGTGAAATTTTCTATCTTGGTTTTCTTATCTAATATTATGTTTATTATATGTCATAAACATTTTCAGTATTGCAAAATGCTCTTTATAGTTATGATTTTTTTTTAAGATTTTATTTATTTATTTGACAGAGAAATAGCACAAGTAGGCAGAGCGGCAGGCAGAGAGAGAGGGAGAAGCAGGCTCTCCGCTGAGCAGGGAGCCTGACTCAGGGCTCAATCCCAGGACCCTGGGATCATGACCTGAGCCGAAGGCAGACGCTTAACCAACTGAGCCACCCAGGCACCCCTATAGTTATGATTTTAATGGCTGCATAATATTCTATCAAGTATATATAGCCAGAATTAACTAAAAATGTTCCCATATAACAGCTAGATTGATTCAGTTTTTCAATATTATAAAGCAAACATTTACTTATATAGTTTTTTCCTTTTAGATTATTTCCCTTCTGAGGTAAGATTACTATGTCAAAAAATACAGACATTTTCATGGCTTCTAGAGGTTTTATTGATCCTGTCAGATGTCCTCTTCTTTAAAAATTGTTCTTATAGAACTGTCAGCCATTTGCAGTACCTAAAATCTAATAAACAAGGATAGGTGCTCAAAATCCTTTTTATTTAGAAGCACACACTGTAACACAGTAGTCCTTCACCTTTTTTGGTCCACAGCCCCCTCTGGAAATTTAATGTAAGCAAGCTACTTCTCAGAAGAACTACACACAGACAAAACTGTTTTTAAAAAAATCTTTTGATCATAAAGGTAGTACATGCTCATGGTGACGTAACAGAAAGTCAGCTGGGCGAACAAGTCATACTAGCTAATCTTTGTTAACACAGAAGCTGCTACTTTTTTAGTATAAACTTCAAAGTGACATAAAGTTCCACACTGTGATTGCAGGGAATTTTCCTTTCTCAGAGAGATGACAGTATTGAGAGGCTCAGCCACATCTTAATATACACTATAGATAAGTACATTGTGTATCTCTTTCCAGTGGTAACATTTCTAGAGAACAGAAGATTCACTAATCAACCCTGAATTCCTTCCTCTTTGTGAAAGGGAGAGAAGCAATTAACTGATACAAAGTTTTATGGGGTTTTTCTTTTCCAGCCAACTGTAAAGCTCTTCATTGACGGGAAATTTGTTGAATCCAAAAGTGACAAATGGATTGACATCCACAACCCAGTAAGCAAAGCTGCTTTGGGACTTAAGCTGGCTAGCCTAGAATTCTGGGACTGTGGTGGGAAATAGGGACCTGGGTGTAGGTCATGTGAAGTACCTAGTGCTGCTTCTGTGACTAGATGAAAAATGGAGAAGGTAGAGCAGGGGCAAAGGTATGATGTGCTGCTTTTTCCTATCAGGCCACCAATGAGGTCATTGGTCGGGTTCCTCAGGCCACCAAGGCTGAAATGGATGCAGCTGTTGCTTCCTGCAAACGTGCTTTTCCTGCATGGGCAGATACCTCAGTGTTAAGCCGCCAGCAGGTCCTGCTCCGCTATCAACAACTCATTAAAGAAAACTTGGTAAGAAATCAGAATGGTATCATTTTCTAGACTGTTGCCTAGGATACTTGTCACACCCACAGAAGCCCTTTCAGCTGCCCTCCATAACTCTACAATCCAGAAAGACACAGATCATGGCTTTCTCCCTTGTACTACCTCTCCCCCAGTTTTGTTCTTCCTTGGCTACCTAAGAACTACAAGGAGGCACATCCTTGCATTGGTTTCTATTTGTGTGTTTTTTCTCTAGAAAGAAATTGCCAAGTTAATCACGCTGGAACAAGGAAAGACCCTCGCTGATGCTGAAGGAGACGTATTCCGAGGCCTCCGTAAGCTGGGAGTCCCTTTTGGGGAAGTTCAGGAACCCTTTGGGAAGGAGCAAATAAAGATGAGAGGCAAAGATCTCAGAATGGGAGGTTACTTCTTCCTCTATATAGATTTTGCTACCCCATGATATCTTTTTTAATACTTGTGGAAAATGGCAATATTTCTCAGGTATGTAGGAGATCAATTTACTTCATTTATTTTACTTGATCTTCCAGTAGGTATATGCATATCACTGGTTGTTTTTTTTTTCCCCCCATTTGGAGAATCTCATTTTGCCTATCTCCTTCATGTGGAAGGGCAAGTCAGTGTTTCTCCCTCTGTCATTGGCCTGAGCCATTCTCTAGCCTCAGGAATGACTAGAGCATGACACAGCTGAGTAGTTCACAGTGGAGAGCTGGTGGCCTGACTTCTTCTCTGTTCCAGAGGTGGTTGAGCATGCCTGCAGTGTGACGTCCCTCATGCTGGGAGAGACCATGCCATCCATCACCAAAGATATGGACCTTTATTCCTACCGTCTGCCTCTGGGGATATGTGCAGGCATTGCTCCATTCAACTTTCCTGCCATGATCCCCCTTTGGATGTTTCCTATGGCCATGGTGTGTGGAAATACCTTCCTACTGAAACCATCAGAGCGAGTTCCTGGAGCAAGCATGCTTCTTGCTAAGTTGCTCCAGGACTCTGGTGCCCCAGACGGAACACTGAATATCCTCCATGGACAACACGAAGGTAACTGCCCTTCTGTACATGGCACTTAATCTGGCCACCAAAAAAATAAAGGTGTTGAGTGGTGAAGGTTGAGTGGTTTTAGGATGAGGAATCTAGGGAGGAAGGGATTTACTAACAGTAACGTCCGTTTTGAAGGTAATGTTTGTTGATACATCTCTGTGTGCTAAGGTAATTAACTGGGGAGTAGCAATGCTTCTTGCCCTTACAGAATACAGTGAGACAAAGTATAGATTAGGCTAAGGCATAGATACAAGAGAAAGTTTTCTTTTCAGTACTGAGAGGGTTTCTAGATCTCAGAGAGACTGAAGACATTCTAATTCACATAGTAATAGCTAACACTTAAAAAGCACTTCTGTGTTTCAGGCACCATTTCTAGTGCCTTTCAAATATTATCTCATTTAATCTTTATAACATTCCCTCAAGGTGAGTACTGTTGTTTTTCCATTTTACAGATAAGAAAACTGAAGCATAATGAAATTAAGTAATATGCCCAGTCACACTGCTAGAAACTGTCACAGCCAGAATGTCAGTACCCGGGAAGGCTGCCTCTGGTTTTTACTTTTAAATACTATGCTATATTGCTGTTCACATGAGGGCACAATAGTATTTGAGAGTCCCAGTATATAGTGACAGTTAAGGAAATATCATATTCTTAAAGGATAAAAGGAGGAGTTGAGTATTAAAAGGCTGCTCTTTTGGAGGAAAACAGGAGTTGTAGCCTTCAGAATTAGAAGTAGAAATAGCAAATGAGAAAAATAATGAAATGGAAGAGGCCAAATAAGAATTAGTAGTTTAAAGAGTTTAAGAGACGGAAGTGCCTGGGTGGCTCAGTCAGTTAAGAGTCCGACTGTTGGGATTTTTTTGTTTTTAAAGATGTGTTATTAGAGAGAGAGAAGGAGAGAGAGAGCAAGCGCAAGCAGGAGGGCAGAGGGAGAGGGAGAGAGAATTTCAAGCAGACTCCACGCTGGCGCAGAGCCTGATGCCAGGCTTGATCTCACAACCCTGAGATCACGACCTGAGCCAAAACCAAGAGTCGGAGGCTTAACCGACTGCGCCACCAGGGCAGCCCCCCATCCCCCACCCCTTGGTTTTGGTTCAGGTCATGATCTCAGAATCATGAGATAGAGTCCTCTATTGGGCTCCGTGCTCAGCAGGGAGTCTCCTTGGGGTTCTTCCCCTCCCTCTCCCTCCTCTTCTACCCTCCCCCACCCGCTCATGTGCATGCATCCGCATGTGCACAGACTCGCTCTCAAATAAAATAAATGAAAAATCTTAAAAAAAAAAAAAGAATTTAAGAGATGGAAAGAACTTCAAAATGGGAATCCAGGATAGATAAATAAAAGTATGGAAACTTCTCATTCACAGCAGCGGGAAAGGGGGAATTTGCCATGTTGAGAAGCCCGTAGCCACTTGTTCCTTTGTGGTAATCATCTCTTTTCTTCTTAAAGCTGTAAACTTCATTTGTGATCATCCGGATATCAAAGCAATCAGCTTTGTGGGATCCAACCAGGCAGGAGAGTACATCTTCGAGAGAGGGTCAAGACATGGCAAGAGAGTTCAAGCCAATATGGTGATTTCCTATTCCTTTTCCCACTAAATCTGTTTTATGTATTAAAATTACCTACAAACAGCCCTTCAACACAGGGGCTACTATCCCACTCTAATGCCAGTGTGTCTTTACTCCCATTTCATCCTGAATGTCTTGCCTTTAGCCATGAACCTTGTGATGAGTTTTATCCTGTCACTTTAATTACCTTTTTATCTTATACAGCTAATCTTGATGACAAAGGGCACCTTTCTGCCTAAGAATGTTATTCAGATTCTTTGGGCTCTAGCAGTAACAGCTGGATTCTGGTTCTGGCCCTGTATCTTTCTTCATACCATGCTTTGTAGCCTTTTTCCTTCCTTCCTTTCAAGGCATATCCTAACTACTATACTGTAAGATATGCTTTTCCTGAGAGTCCAAGCTATTTAAGGTACTGGAAAGAGCCAAATATCCCTGTATGTGAGTGCAGTTTACTTGGTTGCATAGTTTTGCTGTTCTCTTACCAGCTTCTTGCCTAATACATAGTAATTCTTTGATACTAAATATAAAGTCCAGTTGCCACTTTCTCACCCTTTGGTTACAGTTGCAGAAAGGATAGCCACCTATGCACAGGCTTGGAAACCATTCCTGATACGCCTACTTACTTCTTTTTGTGGCTGAATGTCTTGGCCAATTTGACTTAAGTCCCTCCCAGTTCACTACATATTTATTGAGTGTATTCTATGCCTAACAATATACTATGTGTAATGGGATAAAATTAAGTAGCAGACATGGTATCTATCCATGCACTCCATTGTAGTTGTACAGTAGTTCCTCTTCATCTGTGGGGGATGCGTTTCAAGATCCCCAGTGGATCCCTGAAACTGGATAGTAATAAACTCCGTATATACTATATTTTTCCTATACATACATATCTAGATAAATTTTAATTTATAAATTAGGCACAGTAAGAGAATAATAACTAATTATTATAGAACAATTTTAACAATACACTGTAATAATATGGCCTTTCTTTCAAAGTATGTTATTATACTTTACTCACCCTTCTGATGATGGTGATGATGTGAGATGATAAAATGCCTACATTATGAGATGAAGTGAGGTGAATGACGTGGGCATTGTGACATAGCTTTAGGAGAATCATCTGCTTCTGGACCTCAGTTGACCTCAGGTGACTGAAACTGTGGAAAGTGAAACCATGGATAAGGGGGGACTACTGTATCTGGAAACATATGTATGGAAATGACCATGTTATCCTACATAGCTGTGTATCATGAGGCTTTGTATCTAGAAGCAAGCCAATTTGGGGAACCTCTTTCCAGAAATGGTGTATCAAGAGGTCCACCTAGTTTGCCTTACAGCTAGCCACTGGCATTATTACTGGCAGCTCTTTGTTTACATTGCTATTCATATAATTGGGAATTCCAGCAGACAATAGACTGTTTCCTGTCTAACTTAGGAAAGAGAGAGGAGTTCTTGGTTCCCCGATGTCGTATTTAGCCTGTCAGTTTAACTGAATGTGATTATATGGCTGAAGGTTTTGTTTTGTTTTGTTTTGTTTTTTTGGTAATGGTTTTGATCTAAATAAACCCATATCAGCTTGTCAACTAAGAAAGTAGGAAAAAAAGTAACCTGGAGACTCTCTCTGTGCTACCACGACTTCAGCAGTATCAAAATGATAATAAATCTAACCTCAAAGCAACAAAGGGTAAATTCTCCCGATTCTTAAATTCTCATTTGAAATCTCAGATTCTTCACTTAAGTTCTTAGCCTAATTATATTTTGCCAAGGAAGATTCATTTACTTTCTGTATTTCCTTAGGGAGCCAAGAACCATGGGGTAGTCATGCCAGATGCCAATAAGGAAAACACCCTGAACCAGCTGGTTGGGGCAGCATTTGGAGCTGCTGGTCAGCGCTGCATGGCTCTTTCCACAGCAATCCTTGTGGGAGAAGCTAAGAAGTGGCTGCCAGAGCTGGTGGAGCGTGCCAAAAACCTGAGAGTCAATGCGGGTAATCAGTTATCTGCCTTGCTCCTTTAGACTTTGCATCTGTGGCACTAAGTCCTTGGTTTTAGCATTGGCCTTGACTAATGGGAGTAATCACGTCTACTCTTCACCATTGCCTCTCTTTATACTGTACTTGCCATTTGGATTCATCTTCGGTTAACAGTCATAATTTATGATAATGAAGACCTTAAATACTTTTGTGTTGTGTTACAGGAGACCAACCTGGAGCCGATCTTGGCCCTCTGATCACTCCCCAGGCCAAAGAGCGAGTCTGTAATCTGATTGATAGTGGAACAAAGGAGGGAGCTTCTATCCTTCTTGATGGTCGAAAAATTAAAGTCAAAGGCTATGAAAATGGCAACTTTGTTGGACCAACCATCATCTCAAATGTCAAGGTGAACAACTCTGGATTATTTATTTCACAAATATGAGCACTAAAGGCACCTTAGAGGCTATGGAATCTCATCCTTCCAATTTATAAATGAAGACATTTAATAACTGAGACCTCGGCTCTTGCCAGGATTCCTCAGTTATTTTATCTACAGTCTGAATGAGTCTCCTATCCTGACTCCCAACCTCCTCCCACTATACCAGCGGTTGGCAAACTTTCCATAAAAGGCTAGATAGTAAATATTTTTGGCTTTGCAAGGATATACAGTCTCTCTCACAACTACCCACTCTTTTTTAGTGCGAAAGCACATTAACATTGTGTGGCTGTGTTCCAATAAACCTTTATTTATGGACAATGGAATTTTAATTTCAAATAATTTTTCACGTCATGATTGATTTCTTTTGCAGCCATTTAAAAAACACAGAAACCATTCTTAGCTTGTGAGCTGTACAAAAACAAACAGCAAGCCACATTCAGCCCATAGGCCATATTTTGCTAACCCTATCTTATATTTGTTACTTATTTAATGTTAGTTTTTTTCTGCCCACTCCTTGTTATCCAGCTTATAGCTATTGCAGTGTCTCCATCAATATATCAACCACTCAATATTTATTGAGTACCTACTCTGTGCTGCATCTTCACCAGAAAGATACGAAAGAAAAAGAGTTGCTGTCTCAATTTTTATTTATTGAAACTCTGCAAGTCTCTCAGCTAAAATTAATGACTAAATTGAGGTTAGGAGGCTTTTTTTGAAATTCATATGTCCCCACTAATCCTACTATAATCCTGAATAATTAAGAGTTGAATGTACGTGTAGTAGAAATTATGAAATCTCTAGTCACAGAACCATAGGGGAAAAATCCACTTATTAGCAACAAACACAGCTGACTAGCTGCAGTGGAGAAGGATGTTTTGAATGTTTAATGTGACCTGATATCAAAATATAATTGTACAGACTCATTTCGGAGGCAAGGGAGTGAATGAGAATGAATTGTTTATGTTACGGAAAACTTAGCCCAGGTTTTCTTTAAACAGAAACACTCCTGTGATGTTTTCAACATATATTTGATTTATAAAAAATGAATTTTCATGTAACTTTTCAGTAACATAATAATTGTATAAACAGGTTATGCAGGTATAAAAGAGGAAACTAGTGATGGGTCATGGGACCTAAAACTACAGTGCTTAAAAGACAGGAGTGTAATTGTTGTTAATAGGAGTTTCAAGTTGTTTATATGATTGGCAGCTTGGAAGATGGAACACAGCAGGAAAGGACTTTTTTTTTTAAAGGTGGTTTAAAACGAAGAGAGGTTCCTAACATGAAAGCTGTCCATGTAAACAGTGGGTAATAAAGTACCAGATAAGCATCAAGTACTGACTTCTTTTCTGGATGCATCACTCCTGGCAGCCAACTATGACCTGTTACAAAGAGGAGATTTTTGGTCCAGTTCTTGTGGTTCTGGAGACAGACACTTTGGATGAAGCCATCAAGATCGTAAATGACAATCCATATGGAAACGGAACTGCTATCTTCACCACGAATGGAGCCACTGCTCGGAAATATTCCCACCTGGTGGACGTTGGACAGGTTTGTGAACAGGATTTTTAGGAGATTCTTGTAACCATGTACTGTTTCCTATCTGAGGGAGATGGTAAAGTGATCATTCGCTGCCCCTCTCATTTCCCATGATGCCCCATTTCTTCCTCAGGAATCAAAGTTCGTGTGTGGGATGCAGGATGGGGTAGAAGTTGGGGTATTTAAAACTGGTCTCTGTGATGTCAGGCATTTGTGCTTCTAGATGGTGAGTTCCTTTGTTTGAGTCCTTTTCTTTTACTGGATGTGGATTTGTTCTGCTTTAGGTGGGGGTGAATGTCCCTATTCCAGTGCCTTTGCCAATGTTCTCATTCACCGGCTCACGATCTTCCTTCAGGGGAGACACCAATTTCTATGGCAAACAGGTAACTGTAAGAAAACATTTTTTCCTCTAAGAAAGTTTCTTGAACATAGTCAGGAACAAGGATTCTGCAAGGAAGGGCCTGCCAGTAGCTTTTGTGGGGTCATACGTGTTCAGCAGCGCTTGTCAGGAGGTCCCCTAGAAAAGATTTACAAGGTAACAAAATTTTGCCAAAGCTGCTCCTTCCTGAATAACTCAAGGCAGCAAGGTTTTGGGGAAAGAGCATGAGGAAATCTAAGCCTTCACGTATATCCTTTCCTCTGCCTGAGATCCTCTCCTCCTGCCTCCCCTCTTTCATCTAACTCTTAATCATCTAAGTTTAAAGCATGGATTCTTCCAGAAAATCACCTCTGACTCCTCCCGCCGCTTCCTCAGTGCTGTGTTGGGTATGCCCTCGTGTGTTCCCATTGCACATTCTTCTCCTATAAGTTATTCATTTACAAAATTTTTACTGAGCACCTTCTTTGTACCAAACCCTATTCTGGGCACTAAAAATACATCACTGAACAAGGAAAATAAAGCACATCTGGAACTGAATGGCCTGGTTTCAAATGCCAGCTCATCCAGTTATTAACTGTGAGTTTGGGCAATACCCTGTGTCTCAAGTTTCTTATCTATAAAATGAGAATAACAATAGTACCTATAATTCATAAGGTTAGTAAGATTAAATCATCACTATTACCACATCCTTCAGCAGATACATATTTCCTAAGGCAGGAAGAGGCATAGCAGGTTCAAATAGTAGCAGAAATGGGCTGGGGCACAGAGAATGAATGAGAAAGAGAGTGGTAAGAGATGAGGTTAGAGAGGTAAGCCGGGAGAGTCCTGTCAGGCTGTATAAGCCACAATAAGAAGTCTTCATCACACCATAATTATTATTTACTTCTTAATCGCAGTACCTGGTGCAGAGCAAGTGTCCAAATATGTATTGAACAAATGGCTAATGGAACTTCTTTGTAGCCCCATAGTGATACAACCATTTTGGAACCTTCAGTAATTAAATTACATGTTTTCTATACAGGTCTCTTTTATAGTTCAATAAAAAAAAGAACAGTGCGCATCGCATAGCAGAATGTAATGGTATGACCAACTGGTTAAGAAGACATTTTGGTTATTTAGAGGGAGCTTATTCAGTTTGTGCATTAGTCACAGGTTTTGTAGAATTGACTAGTTTGATACTATTAAAAAATTTCTTTCGAGGGAAGCAGAGTAAAACTCTTTTTTTTCTCCCCTGTCTTGGTTTAATTACTGTAAGTCATCCTGGTAAGTGAGGTTTCTTGAAGGAAAAGACTGACCCCGTATACAGTTTGAAGTCTTAAATTCTTAGGTAATCAAATTGCCATTTTGCATCCTGGAAAGAAGACTTGAAAGTAGATAAAAATCTCTCAAGTTTTTTCAGTATTTTAACATGACCCAGGTTTTATCAAATAATTCTAAAAGAGTATCTTAATCAAGCTAGTTGCTTTTTTTTTCCCTAATAGTATCTTCCTAGCTTGCTAGTATTTTTTTTTTTAAGATTTTATTTATTTATTTATTTGAGAGGAGTTGGGGAGGAGCAGAGGGTAGGGAGAGGGACAAGCAGGCTCTTCGCCGAGTACAGAGCCCCCACAGGGCTCGATCTCACAACGCTGATACCATGACCTGAGCCAAAACAAAGAGTTAGACGCTTAACTGACTGAGCTACCCAGGCGCCCCTAGCTTGTTAGTGTTTTTTGTATTAGATCTTAACAGTCTATTCTTTTTTGCTCAAGCCTATTCTTACAAAATAAACTATATATAAAGTCTTAAATATGCTGAATTTTTTTGGTTCACATTATAGGTGATTTAGAAGTGATTGTGTATAATATCAGACATTTTACTTTAGATTTGTACAATATTATGGATTCTGCTACATCAGTATAGAGCTATTTATCACTGACAGTTGTCAGAAACGGCCTAAGATGTATCTCATCCCTTTGTGCCTTTTTCTTCTTCTCAGGAAGGAGAGAAAAACTAACAATTATTGAATAGCATTTACTTTGCTAGGATATTTGTAGATCATGTCATTTTCCCCTCACAGCAATGCTGCGCTGGGCAATAGGTCACAGATACGGCCCAAAGTTACATGGCAGTCAATAAGGAGGAGAGGCAGGATTTGAGCCATGTCCCAAGACCTCAGAGCACGTGATATTTAGCCCTAGGAAAAGAATGAACTGCAAGTTTAACAGATTACATTGTTCAGTTTTTCCATTTAGATCCTCTTGACTAGTTTCAACATAATGATAGCTAAGGTTTGACTATTTACCATGTGGGAGGTATTATGCTAAATGTTTTAAATAGATCATATATCTTATGAACAATAGGTTGAATTTTGGTTGTACCAGTTCCTCAAGTGGGAACATGAGTAGCACTTCATACCACCTCCTTCAAAAGTTGATTGAAAGAGAAATCATGAAACCCTCAGGAATATATGCTAACTCTATTTTTTTTCCCCCTTTGTTCTCTTTAGGGCATCCAATTCTACACACAGCTAAAGACCATCACTTCTCAGTGGAAAGAAGAAGATGCTACTCTTTCCTCACCTGCCGTAGTCATGCCTACCATGGGCCGTTAGAAACAAGTTTGTTCTAGACTCAGTCCACCCTGAGTAATCTCTTTGTATTCTTGACCAACTTCATTTGCCAACTTTGCTCAAATCAGAACCCTAGGACTGGAATACCTGGTAACTAAAATCTTTCTCAAGACCATTAGCCCCTGCAAAGTTGCTCTAGGGAGATTCCTAGTGTAACTCTGAAACCAGATTTTCTTGCTCTTCTTACTTCCGTTTTTGAGGAAACTGTTTTTACTGTGAAATGCTTACATGGAATGAGAACAGAGACCTATTTTCTAGAAGTTCTCCCCTTTTCTGATGACTTAAAGGGAAGATAAGTGTATGTAAAGAAGATCTTCCAATAACTAGAAGAAGACCTCTTGGATGGGGAAATAGGACAGAAATAACTCACCCTTTGGTTGATCCTCAAACACAGTCCCATATAAATGGCACTGGGGGAGACCCCTCTGCCAAGCTTTCTTGAGCCTCTCATTTATCCCACACTACACAGGACGTAATCCATTTCTATTTTCCCCACAGTTGTGACAACGGCTTTCTTTTCTGCTGAATGGCACTTTGTCCTAGTGATTCATGACCACTAATTCTATCATTGTCACTGTTCCTGCTTCTTAAAATCACTTCTCAAGGATACCTCAGTACACACTGGATAAATCAACTTTTTGTTGTGTGTACCAAGCGTTAAATTTCAGATTTGGCTTCAATAGTCATTAATGTTTCAGTCATTAATTCAGATGCAAATGGAGTTTTTTTAAGAAAACTATTTCAAAAGTTTTTTAGGCTCAGAGATCAAGAGGTATTCTAGCCATGAAAGTGTGCAAGACTCTTGCCTTAAGTAAGTATAGCCAGATATTACTTGCCAAATTTTTTATGTTGTTCTTTCTTCTTGCCTGCATTTCTCATTAGTGATCATTTTTAATGAAAGAACTCTTAATGTAGAGTAATTGCCTGGGGCCTAAGAAATTTCAAGGCTCTTCATGACATGAAATAGTAAAAAAGAAATGCTTTGACAGATTCTTTTGCTACCATTAATTCAAGTGTCTTTATGCTTTTTGTTTCTTTTGATATAGCTAAACTTTAAGTCACAACAGAAATTGATGAGCTAAAAAAAAAAAAAAATAGATTCCCAGTTGAATCAATCTTTTCTGATACAGTTTTTACCCAGTGAACCAGGAGAAGGCTGCTGGCTCTGGGAGAATAATCTCTGGTCCTCAGCCAGATGACATAGGTCATTTATTTTTCTGCTTCCTCATTAGTCACTTGGATAATGTTAATCTGCCCCATGGCAGTGATTTGGTGAATTAAGGATAGTGAAAACTTTGAAAACATTTGTGCAGTTGTGGATTTTAAGCTTATTACTACCACTACTAGATAAAATGTCAGAATCTTCATTTAAGGTGACTGGAACTTATACATTTATGACCCTAATGGGTTTTGTGGGGTTTTTTTGGGTTGTTTTTTTTTTTTTTCCTTCCTAAACATGAGGCAGTAAAAATGTTTAATTTGGTAATAGAATACCCCTTGTTTTATCTCTCCTTATCACAGCTGGCAACTGATAGTGATATTTAATCCAATCCAACAACTACAGGCTGGGTTGAATGAAAGGTCATATTGTCTAAATTCCAAGTGGAATTAAGTATAATACCAGAGATTCCTAAGTTTTCCTTATATTTAAGGGAAATCACTTTTTTAAAAACACTGACTCATCAGAATTGTGTTGCTCTAATTGGAATCAACTCATTTGGCTAGCTACTTGCTACTTAGAAGAGTTTCTTGTTTCTTAGATGGAAAAAAATCTGCAGTTATATTCACACTAGTAGCAGCTTAAAAATTTAGTATTTTATTTTCTTTTTGCTCTGATGTGGCCTCATTTGAAATTTCTGAGATCCTATGTTGTACTAATTGATTATAAATAACAAATTACAAATAAAAAGCTCCTAAAAAGAAAACCGGCTTTTTCTTTTTTAATAATGCCTTTCCTAATAATGCCTTTGTCCCTAGCTTGTAGAGACTCAGACTTCCCAACTCTGTTCAAAGCCAAGAGTTATGTGGTCATTATGTTTATTCCTACATAAAAGATAGTACATACTTTGGCTAGCCTGTATATTTCACAAGGCAATTTATAGGTTTTCCACATTTACTAAAAGAGGCACAAATGTGCATTTGCATTAAGTATAATATGCCTGCCATAGTGTAGATATGTTATAAAAATGTCCACGATCTCATACTAGTGTTATTACTCATTTCACTGATCCCTGCGAGCTCTTGGCTAGTAGAGAAAAGCACTATGACCTAACAAGAAGTTGCATGAGGGAAAAAACAGCAGTTACTATGTGTATTGTTTGGTTAGATTATAGATTCCTTACTGTGTCAGACTCTTGTGATCCTTTCTGAATATTGGGTATCATCACTTCACCAGAAGAGTCTGAGACTGGTACTTGCTGAGTGATGAAGGTTTGATCTTGAAGCTTACTGTCATCCCTGTAGTAATAACAAAATGACAGGCCTGTCAGCAACCACATACACATGGAACTTGGTTCAGAACAATAGACTTGTCATGTAACTCCCACTCAGTTCTAGCACATATAAAATGTCCCCATAACCATTGTGATCAGGCTCACAGTCATTGCTTTGTCAAGAGAGCTCTTACCCAAATTCCTTTGTCTCTCCATCATCAGAAACAACATGGTCTGCAACTGGGGGCCTAGAACGCTGGCTGTATTTCCTGTGGTAGGTAAAAGTTAACAATGAGTTAGTGTCTCCTCATGCCCCATATTTCAACTACACTTTTAAAGTGCTAAATGAAATGCTTCAGTTGGATGAGCTTCTTATTTTCAAAACTGAGCCTTATACACACATAGAGGCAGTATAATGTTAGGCAAGTTAATATAAACTTATTTTCTCTTAAAGTTGAGACATGTTGAACTTAAATGGAAATATGGAGATGATCATGATGATGATACACATAACAGCTATTAATGGTGATGGTTAAGACTGAACCAGAGTACTGACCAAAAACATGGCCAGAAAAATTCCCTTCCTACAAAAAGAACCTCAGAACATAGAAAAATTACCCAATGGAGATAGACCCTGTAGGAAATTTCTCCTTTTACATTGGAAAGTCTGGTTTAAGAACAGGAAATAATCATATCACTAATTCAATATTCTAAAGGAAAGTGAGCTTAACAGGATTATACAAAGTATAATAGGTTGATTTGCCAGCAGATAAAGACACATATTCTACTCCTAAAACTGGTCCTCAATTAGGTACATAGGAAAGCAGGATAAACACATTCAAAATATGGTCATATTAAATAGTCTCATAATGATGCATAAAAAATGTATTTTGGATACTATTAGCACCTGAGTTATAGCCACGGTGATTGCTGATGCACTAAAGAGTACAGTTTATTGGTTATACTCCTTGACTTTGTTTTAAGCACGAAGAAAAATATCATACTGTTAGAGTCACAATCATACAATCAACTGAACTCATAAACTTTCTAGTTACTGTCCTTGCCTTGACATTCATCATCTAATTCCTCTCCCCTCTGGCTTGAGCTTTCTCATTAAACTCACCTTCACCTCACATTTCACCATTCTATTCCCATCTTTTCCCTTCATTCCAACTCTGGCATGAGATTCCAACAGGCTTAGACTTGTTCCATTGTGGCCAGATTTAAGTTCATTGCTTTGGTGTGAAATATTTCTACTCAAATTCCTTTGTTTTTCCAGTGTTGAAATCAACACAGTATGGAACTAGAACTCTGGTTGTTTCTTGGGGTACAGAAAAGTCCACTCACAATGAGACAGACATTCTGTACCTGTAGTCTGGATTCTGCCTCCACCTCTTAATAAAAAACAAAAAACAAAACTTTGGAAAGGCCATTCAAAGTCCTCCATTTTCCATTTAACCTATCATTCTTTAAACTCTGCTCTTTTCGTTGCCCTCTTACTTGTTCTCCTGTTTATTTTAGTGGTTGTTCCTAGCCTCAGCCCTTCACTCTTCTACCTTCAGCCACTCTCCTACACTCAACTACCAGTTTTCACTAAAAATGCGCAAATCTCCCTCCCTAAGCTCACCTGTACTCAAATCCCTATTTACAAATGCCTTATTTTTCACTTCAATATATTGCCATTATCTCCAATTCAAATTGAAAACTCCTTGCTATTTCCTCTGCCCAGAATGTTTTTTCCCCCACCCTCTGCTCCTATTCACCTTTTAGAGGTCAGCTCAAGCTTTTACTTCCTTAGAAACTTTCCTGAACTCCTCAGTTAGGTCAGATTCCCCTAATCTAGGCTCTTACCACTATAAACCACTCCTTTGAGCCAATGTCATAGTTCTACTTTTATATTTGTGTGATGATTTGAATAATGTTTTTCTTCCACGTAGACTATGAACTCCCTGAGATTAGGAATGATGTCTTTATTTGCTCAACACTATATCCTCAATAAGTAGTAGGTACCCACCCAATATGTATATGCTACATAAATTCATGGACAGATTAAATAAAATTTAAACATTTCCCCCACGCTGGCTTTCCAGATTTTTCATTTGCCTTTCATACCACCATTCTTGCATTTCTAAGCTAAACACATTAAACTTTTACACTTTGCTTTCTTTATTCCTTTTGTCTTTTATCACCAAGTCCTGTTTCTCCTTCCTCAGTGTCTCAGTTTGTCCCTTTTCTCTGGTGGCTTCCATTCCCGCCTATACCCACACCGCCACATGTCCAGAGGAGCATGACAGCTTCTGCGGGTTCCCAACTCTACTTCTGTCCTGCGGTCCACCCTACATGTCACTGCGTCAGGTTCAAGTCAGCTCTGAGAACAGTGGCCTGTGAACCCTTCCAGTAAGACAGTATGAAAGTAGGGCTTATTGCTCTTGTATTCCTTCAAGGCAGAAAAGGAAAGTGTGTTACACTACTCTAGAATGTACAGTGGCATAAGATTCGGGTTTTTCTGCATGGTTTTTAAGGCTCATCATAATTTAATCTATAGATCCAACCTTATTTCTAATTACTGATTACTCTCTAGTACCATCAAATTTCTTCAAGCTGGGAAGTGTTTCCTCAATGTCCCCCAAACACCCCACCTCCATTCCTACCTCTGGGCTTCTGCTTAGGCTGTGTATTAAGGCCCTTGACTGATGTACCCTTCCCACTCTGTCTACTACTCTCTCCTGCAAAGCACCCCGCAGAGTCATACTCTTTCAGTCTTCCTGACTGAAGTCTTCCCTGACTACTGTAGGCCACTGACATATTGTCTGAACTCCGATGATACTTTATCGTGCCTCCTAACTTTTTTCTTTGCTGTTTGGTTTTGTTTGGGCAACTAAATTATAAACTCTTTGAGATCAAGGGCAATGTCTCTTAATTCCTTTGAATGCCCATAGTAACTAACATAGTACCAAGCATGTAAGCAATTAATAAGTGGTTGATTTATTATAGCCATTTTATAGTTCACTACCAGTGTTACAGTCACCGATAAAACAGGAGAAAGAGAGTGAAATGAATCATTAAAAATAATTACTTGGAATATCTGTGGATTTCTGTTTTCTTTTCTAGGTCTTTTTCTTGGTATTA